GGAGTATTATTATTTGGCCCTGCTTTGAACCAGCTTGCCATCATATATGGAACTATGAACTGTACCAGCAAATTCTGCAGTAATTTGACAAGGTATCCATCTAAACTAAAGCTCAAGAGAAAGCAGGTCATAGGAGAAAAGCAGTACCCATACACGCAAGTCGACCTACCAAAGAAAAAAAGTTAGAAAAACGGATAGTTAATGTTTTGAAGAATCAGTGTCAAAGTCCTGATCTTAAAAGGAGAACTATGAGGTGAGTGCTTTTCACTCACCTCATAGTTCTAGCCGACCTGTGACAATGAGACTGTCACAGGTCGGCTCAGTAGATCGGGAGGTGAGCGAACACATACCGGCGTTCGCTCACCTCTCGATCCTGTCACGGCTCTCTGCCATGACAGGGGAGGGGCTGGATTCCCCCCTCCCCGCCAGCGCTGACTGGCAGAACGGACTGGGGAGGGGGCGGGTACAGCTGGCTCTGCCTCTAGATAGGCAGAGCCAGCTGTCAGTCACGCAGCTGGGCGGATCCCGGCACAATTGTCGGGATCCGCTTCAGCGTCTCAGTATACCGCGAGCTACAGCTCGCGGTATACAGAGCCTAGGGTGACGGGAGGACGCTAGTTTGTGCCCTCCCGTTACCCTGAGAACTATGGGGAAAAGCCTTAACCCCATAGTTCTCCTTTAATCCTACAGAAATGTTGTGGCTGGACCTGAAGATGGAATTTTATGGAAGGAAGCCAACCAACATTCCTGAGTTGAGGTTGTGCTGAAAAGTATAATGGGCTAAAATTCTTCCAAGCTAATGAGCAGGAATAATAAACAGCAACCAGAAAGCTTTAGTTCCTGCACCAAGGGAGACACACCAGTTACTGAAGCAAAGTCATACATTTTTACCACATGGAGATATGTACAGTAATTTTGGATAATAACACGTGCACTAGTTTAAAAATTTAAATATTCTATAAAAATACATATATTTCCTGAAACAAGGGACCCTGTAAATAAAATGGTGGCATATTATTACAACTGTTTATTAAATCCATATTGTGGCATTAGAATTATTGCTCTTACTCTGGCATGCGCAGCGATACGCATATTGTGGCACAAACATCGTTTTCATGTGTACAAACCCAAAGCATGTTTCAGTTTGTATGTGCATGTATGCAGAGGCAGTAGGGCGTTTATTTTTTTATTTTATTTTAAAAACTTATTTTTTTTACACCTAACTATATTGCTGTTACATAGGTGGCTGTCGCCGCCAATGTATCCCTGCAAAAGGTTTAGGGCTTAAAGCTATTTTTTTTTTTTTATTGAAGTGGAACTAAAGCCAAAATGTTTTCTTCCATTTTGAATAGAGTAAGGGAGGGTTATAACCCCTCTCCCATTGGGGAGATTTCCCTTCACCTCTGGTTCCATAGCCACAACAGGAAGTAAGAAGAAATCCCTCCAAAAGCGAGCGATATCCCCATTGTGACCAGAACTAGTCTCCCCATTAGATGTCCCCTCTATTCCTGTTCTGGTGACAACTCGCAATTTGGGATTTTTTGTCACTCTCGGTAAACAAATACAAAGGGTGAATCTCCCCAATTAAAAACACAGGCCGCAATAACAACCTGAGAGAAGAAGAAGTAGTTCTAATCCCTCTCCACTACTTTCAAAATGAAGAAGAAAAAAAAAAGGAGAAAAAAAAATAGGTAGTGGTACTATTTTAATCCTTTTTTCCCCAGAACAACTACATATTAATAGCTAACAATTTATATTTCCCAGGTCACACAGTGTTGTTGCATCCAAAGTATATAAAAGTCTGTGGTGCATGGACGGTTGTCACAACATTGTCTACAATACATGCTCTGAGAGAGGACTATAGCTTTCCTTTTCTCCAGCTAGCACTTAGAACATGCCCTGTTCAGATGTTTTACATAGTAAACAATGAATGGATATTTATCAAGTCAGCTTCAGTCATATGAAGAGAGAGACCTGCAGTCCATGAAAGAATTCATCTTTACATAGGTAGAAAAGCAGGTCAGTCAGTCTGTAGCCTTATGAAACTCCAAAACAGGAAATGAATGTTTGCACAAAGAAGATTTCTCGTCTTACACAAACAAATAAAAGCGATACTAGAAACTAGTCTGGCATGTGATTTTATATGACGTTGCATTTTCCAAAGGTGATTTTCATGGACTTCCCCCAGTAGACTGCCCCTTTCTACTTGCAGTAACACACGCACACAGGATTGTCTAGATCTCGAGACTGACTTCCTTGAGTGTACATGCAAAACAAACAAAGCAGACAGCGCCTTCTCCTCATGTGATAATGTTTATTCAAATGAAATGTATTAAAAGCATGAAAAAGCTACTTACATGTAGACATTGGGAATGAGCAATGTGATACACAACAGACCACAGAGGAGACCAACGAGCTGATGCGTTTCAGGGGAGATGCCCCCTTCTTCAGAGCTCTGAAGACATTCCCAATATCTACATGTCAGTTAGATTTTTTTATGCTTTTAATACATTTAATTTAACAAAAAAACGTTATCACCTGAGGAGAAGGCGCTGTCTGCTTTATTTGTTTTGCATGTTATGTTATGTGAGGATACTTCCCAGTGGCCTTAAGAACAGCAGCCTCTCCTCTAATGGTTGGGGATGAAGAATTTCTGAGCTGTGGTCAGCTGAGAGCTGTGGTGTGGAGTTTCCTTGAGTGTACGGTACTTCCCTAAAACAGATCATGTAAAGTACGTGACACCAATTTCATCTGCTACAGGCTTCTTCCTTCTCTGGCTCCATTACTAGCTAGCTAGGCTATGGCTAATACCCTAGATTTTAAATTTAGTTTATATTTACCAGGCTGCCCATTGTAAAGCAGTCCTTCCCTTCACCCCACAATAAACATCCCTGGTAGATGCACCTCTGCATACAGATCATAAAACAGCAACAGGGTTATTCATAAAAGGGTGAAGAGTTTGGAGAAGGCAGGTGAAGTGAACAATCTAGGACAACATAGGTGAACTGGAAAATTAGCTGAATTGGAGAATTTTTCCAAATCAGCTATGTTGTCCTAGATTGTCCACTTCTCCTGCCTTCCCCAAACTCTTCACCCTTTTGTGAGTAACCCTGTTACAAGTATTTTTAAATTCATTATTTGACTTTTACTTGCATATAACTGAATCTCGCTTCCTGGTCTTTTGCAACTCCAAGCATGGCCCCTCCCACCAAGAAATCTCATGAGATCTTCCAGTGTACTGACAAGTTCTCCCTGGTGGCGTAGCCCACCCATGGGGCATCTGTAAAGTGCCTTCCAGGGAGATCTTGTCAGTACAATGTAAGATCTTGTGCGATTTCTTGGTGGGAGGGGCCATGCTTGGAGTCTTTTTTCCCTATACAGTGTGCAGGCATGGGATCCATCTGCTCATCATCATAAAGGGGCAGAAACTATTCTGGGAAGTAAAGGGAGAGGGAATCCTCTGCCCTTACAGACAATGGCTGCCAGGAGAGGAGCACGGAATATACAAAAGGATAATGAATTCAAGGAAACCAAAACCTGCTATGAACAGCGAATATGGAAAATATATGTCTATTTACTTTACTTTTTTTTTTTTTGGAGGATCTCTCTGAAGGTCCACTTTAATCAAATCCTGCACAGGTTTCCTCTGACATCCCAACATTATGATGCTAGGAGGAAGCTTGAATGAAGGATGGGAATATTAGTCCTAAAGGAAAAACCATCATGCAATTTGATCTCTCTTCTAGGATGCTTCGCAGAATACATTGGCACCAAAAATGATTGTTTATTCATTTTTAACTTTCCCTTGCAACAAAAGGACACAAGATATGATAAGACCAAATTAAGTCACTAAAATAGGTATGCAGTCTTTCCTCCATAGTCCTGTTGCAGAGTGTGAATATCTGTGCAGTGTAATAGACAACAGATTTAGAGCCAGATCTGGTCAAACGCACCCACTCTCCTCTGCAGTACAAGTCCTTATCAGGACACTTGTACTGAGGGGTGTGTCTGTTATCCAGCTCTGCTAGTACAGAGCACTGCTGTGCAGAACAGGAAGAAGAGTTTTACTGAGAGAAAAGCTTATTTTTAGGTTTTTTCTAGCACAATTAGTCATATATTGTAACACGTGGGGTATAGAACTATATAGAGAAAAATAAGGTGTGATACTTTAATTGGGTTTTAACAACACAGTTATTGCCATGGCTGTGCCATATTGTATTGACTTCAGGAATTATTCAACGAAAATGAAAAGGTCAAGGCTGGGCAATCAATTGCTAAACACATTTCAGATGCTTAGAGCCAGCATACTCCTTCAAGACATCAGCAAATTGGTTGAAATGCGTCATTGCACAGTGTAATTGTGTTATTACTGGGAACTGGTTAGAACATTGCTGACTTCTTTTGTGCAGGCTCCGGAACTGTCATCCATATCCTTGCTTTACAGAAAGGGATGCATGTATCCCTTACCCTCACTGTGTCCTCCGAAAACCTGCCCAACGTGACCTGAAGCCGGGGGCAGCACACACAATTTTACAAATCAATGTATTGGGGAATGATTGAGGTTAGTGAACTCAAGCTAAAAAAAGTTATATCATTTAGAAATAGGTGATGTTCATTCATCAACATGTCAACCATAGCAGCTCCCATATGACAAAATGAGTCAGCTAACTCAGAGAAGCCCTTTTCATTAGGACGAGCCTTTTTTTACATAACTCCACTTCATCTCAAAGCCTTACAAATTGACTTAAAGGACGACCACTGTAAATGAGCTGGATGTTATGCAAAATAACAGTAAATGTGTTATCAGCACTAGGTAACAGGACGGCAAATGGCTGTGGCAATGGTGTGATCCTAGGTAAGTCTTTTCTTTGTACTGTGTGAACTTGACATGGCTTAGCTGATGAGCTCATTTAATGCCAGAAGCCTTGTAATAAACATAAAAACAGAATACAGATTTTCCACGATAGTAATAATGGAGACTTTGTATAAATCTGGCTTACAGCTTCCGTGTCCTTGTTCCTCTGATGGTTCTCACGTGTGAGCGACCGAATCTCGTCTCTTTGTCTGTCAACCACAACCTTCAACTTCAACATCAAATCCCGTTCCTCCCTCGCTGCACATTCTTAACACAAAATGTAATCCATTAGCAGAGCATTTTTTACATCTCAGAAAATCACAAAAGTGCACAGCAAACAGATCATTGATTGCACCTCCACTAAAGTTCAGTGTTAAGCATCCCAGATTTAACCAAGTGGGTAGTTGTGTTCTGCCCATGACAAGGCATACACATTTTGATTTTTTAGTCTACTCGTTTGGCCCAAATATACATGTGCATTGGATGCTTGTTACAAAAGAGTCTAATCAACAGTAGCCAGCTGTGTGATGGATAAGACCACAGTGTGCCTGTAGCACGTTTTAAGAACTGAACCTTCTCAGACTACATTACAGTAAACATGTCTCAAAATGTGGGTAATGCCTGGACATACACTTTAAATTACATAGGTTAGTGAAGAACAAAAAAATGCTTAACTGACCATATACATAACGTACAGGTACCTAAAGGCAACTTCAAGTCCCTTTCCACTCCGATCTGCAAACTTGTAATTATGTTATTAAAAAGAGAATTATGAGGCGAGGGATTTTCCTATCCAGAGGCACAGCTGGCTCTGCCTCTGGATAGGCAGAGCAAGCTGTCAATCCCGCATCTGGGTGGATCCAGCCAGTATTGTCAGGATCCGTCCCGGCTGCGGCGTCTCAGTATACCATGAGCTATACTGAGCTTTGGGTCACGGGAGAACGCTAGTTTGTGTCCTCCCGTGACCCTTAGGAGAACTATGGGGAAAAGCCCTGACGCCATAGTTCTCCTTTGAAGGCTGGCCTTCCACACCATACTACTAAACCAACACTATGACGGGTGACCCTTATTGGCCAACAGGACGGTGCAAGCTGGAAACATCTCTAAAAGATTTGCTTTACTTATAATTTTTGATGCACATAGTAGATTTGAAGCATTTTGACAAGAATTAGAACTTTATGAAAAGAATTGTAGAATTGTTCTTACCTCCCTGGGATTTTGTCTCAGCCAGGTGGCCTAAGAGCTTCTGGTTCTCATCAGTCAGATGGGACAGCTGGTTCTGAAGATCATGCTCCTTCCTCTGAGCCTCAAGCAGCTTCTGCTCTAGATCCTGTATAAAAATACGAGTTAAATAGATTAAATAATCCTCCACTTCAGAATTTATAGGCATAATAAAAAATACAAAAGTAAGAGAAAGCAAAAGTTCAATCACACAAATCCCACAAATTTTGTCCAATTGTCCCTTTATCAAGCCCATACTCGCCTGAACCTCGGAGCTGGCTGGCTGTGACAGAGCTCCCTCCTGCTCCATTGCAACAATGGTATGTCCCTCAGCATCCTCATGTCCACGACACTGTGTATACAATGTGATGACTCACAGGACCTTAGATCACTGCAGCGGAGGCGGAGCAAAAACGGAAGGGCCCGGCCTAAGAGCAAGCCAACTCTGAGGATCGGGCGAGTATAACTTTCTTATTTTTTTAACCTAGACAAAAACGAGCTCTTAACCTTTGAGATACGGGGATCGCCCACTGCAAGGGTTAAGAAATGTTTTACCTAGAGATCTGCATTAATTCTAAAATAAACCTGTCCTTCAACTGTTACTTAGCCCAAAACAAGGTTATCCTTAAATAGGCCCCATAGAAAAAGTGTTTTGTTTTATTTGTAAAAGGCAGTCACTACATGGGGAGTTGTTGTTTTAACAAATGCATCTGGTCAGTCACAGTGGTGTGTGATCTCCCATCACTGCCTATACCAAGCTGGACAAAACTTTCCAGCGAAAAGAACTCCTTGTATATGATGACTAGGGCTGCAGCTAACCATTTTCATAATTGATTAGTCGCCCGGTTATTTTTTTCAACTAATCAATTGGTTCTATAAAAAATAATAATATTTTGTCTCCTAATCCATGATGAGAATAGTTGCCAACTATTCTCATCATCGATTATCAATTTAAAATCGATTAGTTGTTGCAGCCCTAATGCTGACAACGGTCTACGAAAGTGTGGAAAGTGCAATGATTTTGTTCTCCAAAACACAACAAGACTATTGCTGAACCAGGATTAAAAAAACAGTTTACCCTGCAACAATCTTGTCTTGTGTGTGGCCACCTTGAGACCTAATCACAAGATAACTGAGCCATGTATAAACGATAGGAAGATTCCACTTTAATACTAAAGTGACAGGATGAAAAATCCAATCACGTAACTACATCTGCTCCCACAAGGTGACTGCAGTTTTAGCATGCATGCTCATATCAGCTGGGTGTGTATATTTATGCACTGAGCAGGCATTATTGGTGATGGCCCTCTTAGGGAAACAACAGCAATTGGATGGGAAAATCCATGCAAAGCCAAGCAACTCTTCCACCATGAAAACTAACCAAAAATATATATCACATTCAGATCTAACAGCTTAAAGTAGAACTAGGGCCTCCCATAAAAATAAAAAAAAGAAGTGCTGCGGCACCTTAATATAACGGCATCTAAACTTACTGTTTCTCTTAGTACCCTTGCAAGGTCCCACAAATACCTGTTGGTTCTGCCTAATGCAATTAGCTTGTCATTCATTACATGGCCACACCTAGTCCTACCCACTGCTTTCTGATTAATTGCACTGCACCTGTTGCCAAATCCCTCCCACTGTGAACTGCAGTGCCTGGGAGGGGAGCATGGGAGACACAAATGGAGAATTTGGGTCAGAGAGGGTTAAGGCCTGTTTTTTGTTTACTTTATGAGGCTTGTGCATCACATAGGAAATGATTTGGTACTTGTTCAGACTCAGCGCTTGTTTCCACCAGCCCGTGCACTGATCACACTGTTTCATGCCTGAAACACAAGGGATCGCACACACAACGTCTCCTTGCGTTTTGGGGTGGGAAGGGGCGTGGCAGTGCCATTCAGGTCAATAGCACTGCAGACACACACCCACCCCGCAGTGCGATCGGCTGCACAGGACCGCATGGTAAAACAATGCCCTGCATTCCAGTGCGGTACGATCGCAAAAAATCGTGCATGCACTTATAAAATATGGTAATACCCATCTTGTACAGACTTTTATAATGCCTGCTATATGTGTGCTTCAGAGGTCTTTATAAATAAAGTGGTAACCAACATTGCAGCATAATACCATAATGATAAGGGACCCGAAAAAGCATGCCTTCATTTTACCCCAATGAGCTAATGAATGCCAGAGCTACCCAAGTAAATCACAGCACATTCAGACAACATGTTTGCTCTGTGTGGTCAGACGTTCTGTGCCACCGGTCCCTGAATCAAAAAGACTGCTTAAAGTGATATTAAAGTCAGATTTTATTTTCCCCCCTTCCCAATCCTGCTGTAAGGACTAACCTTAAATCATGCCTCTTTATTCGATCATCTTCTTCTTTACTGTCCTTTTCAGCTGTCCTTCCAGCGCTGGTGCGGGTCTCCGATCCAGCGCTGACTCCTCTGTCCTCCTCTTCTCTCATGTCCCACGGTGTCTGTGCGGGTGCACGCTGCTCCATAGACTTACCTTGCGTCTCACCTCATCTCCCGGCCGAACATCCGAAGTGCGCACACGCCCACCCTAAGATCCTTTGCGGCCGCCCGAGACTCTTCAGGATGTTCGGACGGGAGCGCACGGCGAAGACCCAGTTAAGTTTAAAGCCTTTTTAAAAGGTTTTTTTTGTTTTTGCATATATCTACTGCTTGCTAGCATAGATATATGCAAAAACCGCTGAGGGTTCAATAACCCTTTAACAATTTAAATATGTCACTGTTTGCTGCTATGCTTCATGTGACTTTTTATTACAGTAAATACCGGAATAGCTATAAACCCTGAATCAGAAGTCAATCCTTATTATCGCTGGGTCACAGTATTGGTTGCATTCCTGCTTCCTCCAGATAAACTGTAAATCAGATGACATGGACAAGCTAATCTGATTAATAATTGACTTTCACAAGTGACCTACGTGAGTAAATATCTGAAAAGGAGATTGCTAAATCATGGTCTGAGAAATATCATGTAAAATGGTTAAAAAAAGAAAGTGTTCCTTAAAGTGAAAGTGTAAGCAAACAGCAAAACTTACAGATAAAATGGCCATGTGTGAACTGCCTTACCTGCCAAATCATTTGTCATTTTGTGTAGATGGCTTCCTGATCCAGTCATGTTCATCAGACAGCCAAGTTCTGACCTCACTTTTCTTTAATGAAGTTAACCAATAAAGCTTGGTCAAGGACCAACCAAGCCAATGACTGGTCAAGGAGAGCACACCAACACACTGATAAGGACATCTCGGTTGCACTCAATGTCTAAATTCTGGTGTACAGAGTTGCAAAAGGCAAATAGAATAACAGACTAAGGCACTATTAAAATTACATTTTAAGTGCCCCATAGCAAAGAAAATGTACACTGAATCATTTACATATTCCTAACAAACAGTAAAAGAGGCTTAAAACAAACGCTCATTCACCTCTCTAGCTTCCTGTAATGTGAAGTTATTCACCCTCAAAAATCCCAACAAAGACTCTGAAACGAGCTTAGAAACAGCCGCTGTTTACATTAGAAGCCTGTCAGGCTGCCAATATGTTTTATAGATAAAAGTTAAGATTTGAATGCCCGTGTTGTGAACGTTGAAAACTAATTTCTCTACAATGCTTATAGATACATAGATGAATAAGAGTTTGTTACACAATTTGCTGAAAGGTTTTTTTTTTTATATCAAACTACTCTTATTTTCAAAAGATCAGGTTTTCTGTGATTTCATGTACAGATGATTGGATTGGTTTCTGGTTCAGTAATTATCAGAGCGGTTTTCACTGAACCAAATCTTCATAAAACCCCTACCATTACAGGAATTTATATAGCGCCGGCAATTTACGTAGTGTTTACATGCACAGTCACATCAGTCACTGCTATAACCCGTTTGGATACCTTAAAGCCTGGTTCTCACCTGTGTGTTCTCAGGAACGCGGCGCATTCATGTGCGTTTGCCGTGCAGATATGACCACATTGCAACTAAGGAGCCACACAGCAAAACTTTTTGTTAATGTTGGGTAGTGCAGGAAGGATTAGAACCTGTCGGGCTATTATTGCTGTGTGCCCCCACTAGGTATATTCACCCTCTATTTGTCCAAGTGACCATTATCCTAAGTAGGGATGCACCGATACTAGTATCGGTCCCAATTATTTGGGCGAGTACTACTACTCGCCCAAATTCTCAGATGCCTAGCCCAATACTTTTGCTTCCGGTATCATTCCGGAAGTTATTACAAGCTGCCCGGCTTCCCGATTGGCCGGGAAGCTGGCTTCATGCTCCCTCGTCACGAGAGAACTTGGGGCCGGCTTCTCGGCCAATCAGGAAGCTGGGTGCGGAGTCATTACAGGCCACCTGACTTCCCGGCTAATCAGGAAGCCAGGTGGCAAGTCATTACACTCTGCCTGGCTTCCTTAATGGGACTTCCAGTATCGGTATTCGGTATCGGTACTCATACTCCGTACCGGAAACCCATATCAATGCATCACTAATACTAAGGCTTGTATTGGCCAGAAAGCCGGCTCCATGCTTTCTCGCCACCTAGTGATGAGAAGCATGGAGCCGGCTTCCCTGCTAAATCGGGAAGCTTGGTGGCGAGTCTTTACACGCCGCCTGACTTCCCGGCTCATCAGGAAGCCAGGTGGCAAGTCATTACACTCTGCCTGGCTTCCTTAATGGGACTTCCAGTATCGGTATTCGGTATCGGTACTCATACTCCATACCGGAAACCCATATCAAGGCTAAGGCTTCAGTAGTGATCTGTCATAGCCACATAATTACAACGTATAAGAATCAGGCTGTAGACTTGATCCTTCGTACACACAAAGATGTACGATAAGATAATCAGGAGTAAAACTGATTACAAGCTCTACAACATACCACGTGCATTCCTAAAGCATATCTCAATGTGTAAACAAAAACATTTTCATAACATCCTAACAATCTTCTGTATGAGAAAACTGGAGATTTGGCTTTCCATTTCAATCTGTATGTACAGAGTTTCTTTTTATATGTATGATGACAAATTCAGTATTTGTGCTTTTCCATAGGATCAGCACCTACAACCAGACACAGAGGACTATTCCTACTACAGA